ACTGCTTGCGTAATTTACTTGGGCGAAATTTTACTTGATTTCTTGCGCATAAATCTGGCCCCGATATTAAATCTATCTTCCGGCTGCGTGTTGAGTTGACTAATACCATCTTGACTGCGGTGTCAACTCAACCAGTCGTAGAACGTCGCGATATCCCGAACGCTAATTCCATTGTTTCCCGAACATGCGAAAGATACCGGTATATGGACCAAGGGAGAGAGAGGATCGCGAATTACTTTTATCTTCCCGAAGATGGCGCACGGGGTGTCTCTTCCCCAATCGCTAGGGCGTCTCCCTGAGTGAGTTTGGGAACCAGCATCCACCGACCGTCGCCCGACTCTTTTTTGCTTCTTTTGCAACCGACCCTCCGGTGAGCTCGCCGAGAGACCCGGCGTGTCCGGCAAATCTCGAATGACAGACCAACGTGTCCTATGCATCAGCGGGAGCGTCTCTCTTTATTCCACACATATCTTTTCCGCGGCATACACGCTATATTTCTATCTTCCTCTCCGTTCCTCTTACAGCTGCGTATACTTGACACGCTTGCAATTTACACCCCGTAATGCTTGAGACAGATACACACGCGTGCCTACATCGCCGAGGAGATCGTGAGTGTGCACGCATACTCATTCTAGTGCTTTCTCGCGCGTGTGGTCCTCGCCACTATACGTCCCTTATTCAGCAACGAGCAACGACATTGAGATCTGATCGATTGCGGATATAATTGAGACGGTCGGGTTCGTATTGGCTGGTTCTTCAAGATTATATCCTTCATGTCTCTGTATCTCGATTGAACATGAACATTTCGCCATGAATTTTCGAAGCGAATTTTCAGAAATCGTTTATTTTTGGCGAAATAAAAAAATCGCACGTACAGCAAAAGTAGCAAAGATCGTCCGTTGGTTCTTCAAGATCGCGAGTGAAGTTAAGAACTGCTGATAGTAACACCCGTATTGCTTCTTCCTTCGACACTCGTAGATCAGTCGTCGTGGAATTCGGCAATAATGGCAAATGTTGTGTACGCTGTCGCGATAATAAAGCGAATATAATGAATGTTATGAAGCAGTATCATTGTATATATTGACTTCTCGTGAGAGATCTGTCGTTTGAGTAGAATACGTGTGCACAAAGACGTGTGGTGCAACACGTCTCATGGACAGATATACGTGTTCGGAATACTCGATGGAAGCTCGTTCACATAATCTGTCAATCTGTAAAACCACTGCTCGTATATGGATGTAACGATTCGTATCGGCGACGATCAGCACGGGTGGTGGCTATAAACGCCACCAGTAATAATTTTTGGTGCATTGTACCGCGTAACTTTATTGTTCGCACGCACCTTATTTACTTCCACGATGTATCTCGTTCTTCGCGACGTTCGTTGTAAATCAGTAAACGTTTACGGAAATTCGATGTTTGAAAGTAAAGTTCGGTAATACAATGAAATCGCAAGCGTTGTAATCTATATCTAATATTAAATATTGAGCGTAAATACAGGTTATTGTGAAAACGAAGAAGAGAATTGACAATGCTGTTTGTAGATATCACAATGCGCGTTTGGAGAATTATTTTAAATATTTCTCACGTGAGCAAGAAGAATATGAAAAGTAATAATTATCTGAATTTGTTTGCAGGCAGCGGTTATGCGCGACCATTCGCCTAATCTTCCATGTGGTAAGTACTTGACGTTGCATTGCATCTAAGTAACTTCATAAACGCATTTAAAGTTATCTTGCTCAATTCATGTAAGACATATATAAATTATGCAAATTTATGCGAATACGATTGATTCCGCGACAGGTAAGTCATCTTTCAATAATTTGCATAAAATTGATAGTTGCAGCCGTTACTGATAATCATTCTTACTCATAGAATTCATCGATATTGCTGCCGATTCCCACTCAAGTGTTCTATATTTGCAAGTAAAACTTGTTCTTTTTTTTTCCATCGAAGACGCAATTCACAGCACATGCAGCATGCCATGAATTGCACTAATTGTACATTTGAATACTAGTGATGGTTTCAGCAACACTCGCTGCTCGTTAAGAAGAAATACAATCGGCCTATTCTCTACGGCTTAAATGACATAGTTTACCGGCTGTAAAAAATACTTTTCTCACATAAGAAAAACTATTGTTCCACTATGAATATTATCAGGATAGCGTTTTACGGGAGATTTGTGTAGCCGCGTGCTCGCACGGCGGATTTATCGCGTTTAAATTGTTATAACTCTGCGAATTTTTATCGAGTCAGCATAAAAATTTATACATATCTTACAAACTTTATACTCTGAAAAAATATACATAAAGATGAGCAAAATTCACTAATTCCCCTCATATACATCCCCTTGACCCGTTAATTTAACATATAATTGCGATCACGTTCCAACTGTTAAATTCGCAAAGAAATTCCGAAAGTTAACAGTTTTTATCGTTCTTCTGCTTATTTTTCATTCAGATGCGTGACATCGCATCGTTGTCCCCTTAACAAACGAATTCAAGAATGGAGTAATGATTAGAGCAATGTAAGCAAATATTTTCCCCATTAGATAAGAGTGTTTCAAGCGCACAAAGTGTGTCAATAAAATAGGGTGTGTAAAATGGGCTGTCCATCGTAAGAAACGCCGGGATCCAGGCTGGAAGTTTTTCCCGCCCCTTGCACCTTACTACTCTCGCGTGCGATATTCTCGGTACACCCTCCTCCTGGCACTTGCCCCCGACGTAAGCCGCCCCTTCTCCCTCACGCAAGCCGCGTCACTTCTCGCCCCATCGCCGCGCCACCATTCTCACGTAGGAATGCCGCCACGATAACCCAACCGGGACGAGTTCAGTGGTTTCCAAGAGTCGAGGAGTCGACGGTGGCCGAATCGCGCTGGTTTCCGCGAAAGCAGCGGCGGAAGAGAGGAGGAACGAAAGATGTGAGTCGAACGTCTTCCTGTGCTTTTGACAGAAGTTCGGATCGGGGAGGAAAGCAATTATCTAAGTCTACCTTAATGTCTCATAATAAAGAATTCGGGACGACTGTTCATGATCTGCATTGATCCGCACGAGGAACTAGCGAAACAAAGGATGGGACATGACGCAAGATGGGACACGATCTCATTTCTTATTAAGTGAACTGCTCATCGGACAGTTCGATGATTAACTTGATCTACTCGGCGTAACAAAAGTCCTTTTGAATGAGCATCATATTACGTACGTGTGAAGATATTGAATTTTTATTAATGATACGCTTGTGCCCGTTGCGTTCTTAAATTGACATGGAGGGAACGTAAGATAGAACAAAATCAAGCGGACGGACGCGCAAGAAAGATAACAAGCTTTCAGACGGAGTATTATTTGTTCGATGCCATAAATGGAGTTATCCCTCATGATCGGATTATATCGGATAAAAAGCAGTGAGAAGAAATGTTATTCGAATGAAATGAAAACTCTTCTGCCGGATTTGAAACAACACCGTTACGAGAACTTAATTTTTAATTATAAATAAAAAAGAAGAGTACGATTAAAAAAATACTTGAAGATTTAGAATAATTATGGGTTTCTATTAGAATCGAATCAATGCAGACCGAATAGGAAGCGAGTAATGTGTACGGAGCAAAAGTTCGGAAAAAAGTGTTGCTTTGACAGGAATTGGAAGGAAGAAAAAATCCCGAAGAGTAGGATGGAGTTAGCTTAAGAACGAGATAAAAAGACTGCATTCGAGTGAAAGAGAGAGAAAGAGAGAGAAAGAGAGAGAGGGAGAGAAAGAGTGAGTGAAAGAGAGAGAGAGAGAGAGATAAGCGGAGAAACTCAGAGGAGGATAGAGAATACCGTGTGAGACGTTGGAACGTTGCAGGGTATAAGGCAACGTGGCGAGCTCGACTGCACTGGCAAAAGGCGAACGTACGGACCGTCGGACGGACGGAGCACGCCGGGTACACGCAAGTGAGCAGGCGAGAGGTGCCTGAAACCTAAGTGAGGGAAGTGAGCTCGAAGTATAGCCGAAAGCGTAGGCAAGAGCGAGAGGGAGATCCGCCGAGAGAGAGACCCATTCATCTTGGCGCGCCTAGCATGCCTGCGATTGGTCCATCTTGGGTAAGGCCACGCTACGATTGGACGGCTCTGTTTACCAGCTGGTGCCCCGGCGCGCTCCAGGCTCGTAGAAGAGAGGGGGGAACAGAACGGAGAGACAAGCGGCGCCATTATTGTAAGGGGTTACATTTAGCTGGCCGTGGGTTGTAGTACGCGGCGTTCGGGATAGGGGGCTATAGTACCTTCATGCATGGCCCATAAAGGATTCGTCGACTATCCGAGAAGTACGCAAGAAACGGCTTCTAACACCTGACAGGGGCCACGCTCTTCTCTTCTCTCTCCTCGTGCCGTCGCCGGGTTCGCCGTCGCAGCCCAATTTCCAAACTGGGACCACGGGATCGTCCTGCGGGGTGGGCCTGTGCGAATCGACGGAAGGATCCCGGCCTTTATCGCCGATGGATTCGTAATCCCGATTACACGCCGGCGAGAGCGCGCGAATCAACTCAAGGTGAAGATCTGCGTGGATCTTAACCTGGAGACCCGGGAGGAGGGATATGTCATTCGCCGTCGCGGACAGCCGGTGATTCGTGGTCAGTCGTCCCTAGCGGCCGCATCCCGCCGCGTTTCGGTATTGTTATTGTGATAATGTGCTGAGTTGCGTAAGTGGCGGTAAAAGTGGATCGTTGCTCGCTGATAAGCAGAGAGCAGATAGTGAACACGGCGGAGCGAGCAGCGGGAAAGGGAGAGAGGAAGGATCTCGAAGCGGCGTAGAAAGAGCCAGTGCGCGCGTCGTCACCGAGGAAGCCGCGATCGACCGAGAGATCGAGTGATCCGACCGAGATGGATTATGCAATAAGAAAGCAGCAGCAGCAGCAGCTGACGGTGGACGCGTCGTCGCGGTGTCGGTGTTGAGACACTCGTCCCGGTCGTCTGGTCCGGGCGTGTCATCGGCATCGGATCCACATCGGCACCGACAGAGGCGATATGAGTTCGAAATTCATAATTGATAGTATGCTACCTAAGTACCATCAGCAGTTCCACCATCAGCAGTTATTCTCAAGCGCGAACCCCGGCACGATCCAAGCGTGCACGACGAGTCCGGCGACCGCTAGCCTAGAATCGAGTCTATCCGCGGCTGCAGTCGCGGCCGCGGCGGTTAACTACGCACAGCAGCACAATTCACCGAGCCCAACTGGCTCGAGCCCCCAGCACTCGGGTAGCTCCGCTTCGACGTCACCGGCGGCACGCACGACGTCCAGCATGTATCCTTACGTATCCGCCGCAGCGGCGCATCATCATCATCAGCAGCAGCAGGCGGTCGCCGCCGCCGCGTTCGGCGCCACGTCCAGCATGGTGCCCGCGTTCACATCCTCGGCGGCGTCTAGCGCTGCCCTGGCCGCCGCCGCCGCCGTCGACGCCGCGACTGTCGGCGACAAGTCCTGCCGTTACACCGCCAGCCTCACCGGTAACGTCGCGCCGACATCGGCCGATCCGATGGTCAACTACACCCTCGGCCATCATCATCAAAACGGTGCTACGCCCGGCAGCCTCGTCTCCTCCGCATCCGCATCGTCGGCCGTCTCGGCCGCGTCGGCCTCCATGGCTGCGGCGGCCCAGTTCTACCACCAAGCGGCTGCCGCATCGGCCGTCGTCGATCCGTTGACGTCCTGCCAACAACCTACCACCGGCCAGCCGGGGATCTCGGACATACCTCGGTATCCATGGATGTCGATCACCGGTGAGTCTATCTTTTTTCTGCAGATCCGCCTTTCTTTCCTCACGCACGTGTCGTCCGAGTATCGCGGGAGAAAAGTAGCGTCGCGTTGCGGCGACGAGAAGCGGTCTCGGGTTCGACGATCTGACGCGGGATCGATCTCACCTTTTGAACAGCCGCCGTTTGGTCAATCGTTCACCTTTTCTAAATCAAATACAGTCGCTGCATCAATCATTTTCCCGCATCTGTAACGCACGCGCACGCACGCACACATACATACGCACGCGCGCTCTCTCGTGTATGCGTGCACGGGTGTGCGTGTATATGTGTGTACTGTGAAATATTCGTTTCGGTTACACAGTTAATTGTTCATACGCGATAAGTAAAGCTGAGCGATATCCAAGTATCAATTTCCCCGCCAGTTGATGGCTCATATAGATTGAATGTTTTTACACACTCTTTCATATTGCACGTAATCCCGAGGAAATGCGCGTGAAAATGATTGCATTCTGCATGAAACTTTCAGCATGCCGTAGCGGCGGGAAATACTCGAGATTGTTCGGCGATTAATCGGTTTAACGTAAAGAGTACGCGATACGAAGTGTAAGTAGCATACGGTTGTATTATCATAAACGATCGTTCAACTATTTACGGACCTCCCGTATGACGAAAGTATCAACGCGCAATTGCCGCGAATATTCGAGAACATTTGACTGTTGTTGCAAAAAAAAAAGAAAACAAAAGAAGAAAGATACAAAATTGCACGTACGTAATCGTAGCTGGGACATTTTCCTTCGTCGATGCGCTACGATTAGATTCATCAAGTGGCCAGCGTCTCCTCAAATAACAGGCTGGAGGAATGCATGAAACCTTGTTCAACTCTTACGTCCAAGGGGGAGGGGGCGAGCCGGGGTGAGATTCTTCTAAAATCAATACTATTGGGTCAAGTGTAGCTTTGTAATTTGCAGTGTCGCGCGGTCTTAATCGCGGTCATTATGAGAAATCAGTCCTTCGATGGGAACATTGAATTTGCACAACGGGTAATCATTGATGAATAATAACACGATGGGGGATTAAGGTCCGAGGTGCTTTCACGTCAGCGCAGTAAACCCCGAAGTTTCTCCAGTGTCGCGCATTATTGTACGTGTGCACTGTCGGAGAGTCTTTGTTCGCCGACGTGTTAGAGCCCGCTTAGAGTACCGACGGTATTTATCGTGTATGTATTCGCAGCGAGCAACAACGAGCCGTTGCCGCGCTTTGACGTTGACGCCTGAAAATTGCATGTCTCGGCGATACCGCGAAACCGTGCGCGCCTTTTCTCATTTCGCGTTTTCCCCCCCGTTTGATACTGTTGTGACATTGTAGCAGCACGTACGAAATAACTTCGAGAAGAGTTTGCATGAACTGAGGGGACGAGTTGGAGGGGAGGGGGGAGATGGGGGGTGGGACTCTCTCTCTCTCTCTCTCTTTGAAGCTCGATGTTTCGTGATTCCGCCGCGGTCTGCACGAGGGCGGGAAGGGGGCTTTGCCGTTTTGCCAGTCGCAATTTGATTTATCCCTCACGGTACGCCGGTTGAAACTCGAGGCATGAAGTTCAATTGCAACAATCGCCGTATTTGTCACATTAGACACGGCAGCGACTTAGCCTGCATTCACGCGACGAACGAATTAACACGCGCCGCGCGCGCGCGCGTCTGCTTGCTCGCTCGCTCGCTTTTCAACCAGTCTCAAGTTATTTACCGTGTCAGGGCAGTTTACAACGAAATTTCTCGTGCGATCTTTCGCCCGTGCCAATGCACTCGCGCGCGGTTAGCGCGTAGTAATATAATGCAAGTTGCACCGTGGACAGGCAATCATGGAATATATTACGATTAAGTTGTAATCATTGAATATGCAAATGGATTTTCCGAGGACCGTCCCGCGTATCAACACGTTATAATAACGCGTGACGTTAACACGCGAACTTTTGCTTTTTTCCTCTCTTTCTTCCGACCTCTTTCCTATATTTTATTACTAATTCGTGAGAGGTGTCATTTTGCTCGCGGCGAATCATGAGCGCCCCCGTGTAATTTCTAATGTGGCGATCGCGTTGATTCCGCGATACGATTCAATCCCACCTTCCTATATTTTATTATTGTTTATTGCGCGTTTCTCCATACAAGATAAATGGCGATCAGAACTAGTGGCCGCTTGTCCGTCCTTGCGTGAAGTGTTTCGCACGTTGTAAATATTATCCGGAGAACCGAACTAATTCTATAAATTACGTCGCGACATTTCGATCGGTGTCATTGATGATTTCGATCATGTGATCCGCGGAATAAGTGAATCCCGGCCCATTTCATTGTGTTGATCTAATTAATCCTACAATGCTCAGATATCAGTACAATCCATTTTTCTCTTTTACGCATTTAGATACTTTCCTACCCTTATATATATATATATATATATATATATATATATATATATATATATATATATATATATATATATATATATATATATATATATATATATATATATATATATATATATATATATATATATATATATATATATATATATATATATATATATATATATATATATATATATATATATATATATATATATATATATATATATATATATATATATATATATATATATATATATATATATATATATATATATATATATATATATATATATATATATATATATATATATATATATATATATATATATATATATATATATATATATATATATATATATATATATATATATATATATATATATATATATATATATATATATATATATATATATATATATATATATATATATATATATATATATATATATATATATATATATATATATATATATATATATATATATATATATATATATATATATATATATATATATATATATATATATATATATATATATATATATATATATATATATATATATATATATATATATATATATATATATATATATATATATATATATATATATTTCTTATCCTCTATTTCAGCGATGCTTTTGCGCATCTTAAAGATCAGCGAAGCGCGCCTGACTTTATTTTTATCCCCTCCCGGTGGCTCAAGTCCTTAATTTTATTTATTTCCGCTTTTCCGTTTGATATATTTCGAGCTTCTCTGAGGAGTTTACGGGTTTTTTCAGCTCTCTTACTGTCATATGTCTATTCATGCGTCAATAAGTTCCTTATCTATTTTATGAGTGCGTAAGAATAACTTTATGGCTTAGGGGTGAGGTGAATGATTCAGCCGACAGCATAGTGTGACGATTTTAGTTCGCGAGGCCGTAGTGGGATCAAAATCACGTCGGCAACTCATAAATCTCCAATTTTTCCTTTTGGCAATTATCGTTCTTCTGAATATCAACCAGTTTATCGTATTTTGATTCAATCATAAGTAGAAATAAAAGATCGCATGCGCGGCAATATATTTTAACGTAGCAATTTTTCTTCATAGCGCAACATATGAATGCGAATGGCTTTTTGATAGATTATTTTGTCATTAAATTGACATATGTATATATATATATATTGATTTAATTACGTATATCGTGGCCGTCGATGGTAAAACCGTCACTTTTAACCGATTGAAATGTTTCTCGCGGTATTTTCTCAGATATTTCTAACGATTAACCGTTTCTCGTTTGAAATGGCAGTGAAACCTTTTAAATGTTCGTGCTGTCTTCAAACGTGCTTCATAAATTATTAATACACTGGCTTAACTTCTCATTGAATCTATTATTAGTCAATTAATCTTTGAGTTTTTGCACATTATTATTCGCTTGAAACTTTACATCGAACTAAAACCTTTGTGAAAAGAATCACGTGGTTTTATTCGCGAAACTTCCAAGTGATCTTCCCGAAATCCTTAAGTACATTTTAGCGTAGCACGTCTTCGAGTCATAATGTAGCTTACGCGTTTGTTACGGGAGATATATTCGAAAAATCTCGAGTCGCATTGTAACCTTAACGTGCATGCGTAGTTCTACAGTTTCAAAGAATTAAATGACAACAATGAAGCGGACCATTCGTTATGTATCACCATCAGAATTGATGTTACAAGAAAGAAAAGGCTATATGTAATTCCCAAAACAAGTGTCATTCTGCCGTTTTAACTAACCAATTTATTTTCCAGATTGGATGAGTCCATTTGACAGAGTGGTTTGCGGTGAGTACAAACTATTATTATTATTACTACTAATTGCCTTTACATTATTACTGCCATTGTATGCGTAAATATTGTTTTGTACATGTGTGTATAGATATATATATATATATATTCCATATTTCTACAAATATACATAAAAAGGCGAGAAATTTTTCGCGGACTGAGAAAAATCTTTGCGTAAGCGTAGCAGTCGCGCGTTATATATTTTTCAAATTGAAACGTTGACGATAAAATAGTGACACATCCCCTCGCTCCGAAAGAGCTTTTTCCCTGGATGATCGCACGATCATCACGACGCGGCCCAGGCAATTAGACAGACTTGACGAATGTTCGGTCATTAATCTACGATGAAAATGATGTAATACTAGGCGCGCTAAGGAAAGTCAAGGTCAACGTCTGAGTCACTTACGTGAATCGTGCCACCAGGCTGCACGCGTTAAATCCTTACCCTATTCATTTATGTTAGTTGCGCATGCAAGAAGGACATGTATATGGGCAACTACACCTGTCGTCACCGTGATAATGTTAGTCGCGAATAATCCCCGCGACTATCTTTTATACAACCACTTATGAGCCCACAATAGCGCAGTAAATACCGATTAGATAAAATTAAAACTTCAGTCGCTGGCTTTTATCGCGATGGTTTGTTTACACCGGGCGGATCATAATTTCAAATAGGCATTGGCGATCACCGTACGAAGTTTCCGCAGCTGCAGCGGGAACATTTAGCCCGGCGGGGAATTACATTCCGATATATTCGAACGGGGAATTTATCTGTTTGTACATACATATATTACTGCCCGATGACTGAAAATACGCGTTCGTCGTTACGATATTATGCATCGATTAACAGCATCTGGATATTCTTGCAGATTTTCGCGACAATTCGCGCTTGCACACTTGGAATTATTCCACTATAAATTCGAGTTCAAACTGTTTATATTAACATTCTGTTAGCAATAATTAATGAATTATTCATATGGTAGGAAAGGATTGCTAAATAATTACTTATATTACTAAGCATTTAAAATGTAATATAGAAATTCCTTTAAATACAAGACGTACGAAACTTAGTTTCAATTAATTCTGCTGTATTATGCATAACAGAATAAATTGTATTATTCTTGAAACATTTTTCTTCGATATCAAAGCTAAAGCAGATGTTTGAGGCAGATAACAAGGATTTATAAACGACAACATTAGCTTATGTAAAATGAGTTTGTAGCGAATTTCTTACGACCAATCTCCATTAGGGTATTCTGTTAAAAAAAATTCGTTTAAGTTGCATTTATTTAAATTGGTGTATAATTTAATTTCATCATCGCCTTAATAGTTGCGATATATTCCAGGTCAAGAGAACAGATAAAGAGAGAGAAGTTCAAGATATAAATATTTCATTACGATTTGACGTACAGTTTCAACATTTTAATAACAGTGTCGCGCTTATCGCATTATTTATTTCAAACTCTCAGCTCAAATTCCCATTTTTCCATTCACACCCATACTCTTCGCCGCTTCCATTGATTTAATATGCGATTAATGCGTGAATGTGTTGCGGATCTGGAATCGGCAAAATGGGTGGCTCTCGGGCTTGTCCCTCAAGGTCGTCCACATATCTCCGGCTAAAATTTGCACCGTTTAGAAATATATAGGCAGATTCGACTATAATCTGCACTACCTTCCTCTGGCTCGCCATTTTTTCCATAGCGTGGTCCCGATATATCATCGAGAGACATCGGTCCACCGGGTGGCATCAGCGATCCCCTCGATTCTCTGACTCTGCGAATTAAGCTTTACAATTTCTGGAACGTTTCGAAGTTCAAAGCTTTAAGATTCGTGGAGCTGCCAAGTTGATATCGTCCGCGACGCGAGTCTAAGTGAGTTGCGATAATTACGTTCCTCTGTCGGACGGCACCGATTCGCACTTGTTTCTTTTTCAACAATACGCGCACAACCGATGAATCTAATATGCTTCCATCGATGCTATATTAATGTACTCGCGATGCTTGCGTCATGTAATTGGAAAGACCTTGTTATTGCATCACTGTCACATGTCGCTAACGCAACGTTGAATATTCAATCCGAAGTCCCGTCGCGTAACGCGGATTTTTCATCCGGGCAACCAAGTGAAATTGCGAGCGAGCCGGGAAGGGCGGTGTAGAAATTTCGAATCCATCTCCGGATAGTGCACGAAGCGCGAACGTACCCTGACGCCACCGGAGTTCAGAGGCCTGCGGGGACGTCTAGCTGGATTACGGTGTGTGTACACGGGGACTAGCAGGAGATAATGTATAATTTATAATCAGGCCGATCCGCCGGCAACGGCGCACCACTACGTACGGGTAGAGTCCACCGCCCCAAAAGCCGCCAACCCCTCATTAGCATTCGATGATGGCTGCCGCGTCCTGCAGCGTCGGTATTATCCCATTTCATCGTCCCTGCCTCCCCTACCTGGACCCTCTCTTTTGCCGCCTCCGATCTCTCGTCGCCGGCTCTCCTCGTCCCTCACGCTACGTATACGTTTTCCTCCCTCGCCCTCGCGTTCGCATCAGCATCCAGCAGGTATCCGGTATTGGCTCGGGAAAAGAATGGGCTACGATCGAAATTTCATCCGGGAAAATTTCATCCGGCGCTCTGTTTTATACCGCGCACAAAACTCTCCCCCGCTCTCTCCCCCACTTTCGCTCCCCGGATCTTCCCGATTCGCCGTTAATACACGCGCCACGTCGGTTTCTTAACGAGCGGGAGTGACCTCGCGTCGCGATGAAATTCGCGATGTCGAGAGATATCGAGGGGGAGGGGGTTGATTGCATAGAGGATCTCTCGATTGCAGACTCGATGGAAGTCCCGAGTCGATGGGAAAATTCGGCGGAGAGTCGGACGGGGGAGAGGGACGAGCTTTTCACGCTCGCGTCGTGAGCGCTGGGCCGGCTTTTGACGTTTCCCGAAAGAAGCTGCGCTTCCGGAGACAGGTCAGAATCGTGTTGTCACAGAGATTATTGAAACTGCAGTTTTATGGGCCTTAAAAGCAGTTTAATTGCCGTTATATAAGTGTTTATGCGCTGCCAGGTTTGGCCTGCGCCACCCCAAACGTTTATTTTATGGTCATACGGCGGCTGCGCGTACCCCATTATGTCGCGTGCCAAAGCCATCAACGCCAGTCAAATCCTCAGAACGGCGGCCGGTCGATTCCCAAATATCGGCGATTCGTTCGCGCCGCCGGCCGGTATCTCACGCGATTCCTTCGCGGATATTTTTACGCTCCTTTCGGGAGAACGGTACGCCCCGCGCTATTCGCCGGGCATTTAATCGGCGCGGTGACGTAAACCGACTAAAATCGTTGAAATTGACTAAATATACAATATAAAAAATTGCACAAGAGTTGCGAATCTCAAAGATATTTTTCTCAAGTTTTCCAAACTGTCGAATACTTAAAGCTTACTGTGAAAGGACTTGAGAGACGGAGCCGTACGGTTTCGTAGACCTTTGCATATATTCTTCCGGATCGTTTAATCTCGATAGTTTTCTCAGTGTTACGTATGCCCCAAAATGTTTCACGTCTGTTCTCGGTGACGCGCGGGACTCGAGTTTAGCAATCTTAGAAGGGAGAACGTACTTATATATCTTGTTATATTAATTCTTCGCATTTTGTTTTACGCTTATTAGAGTACGTTTCCCCGGTAACTCCTTAACTTGTAACTTTTAACCGTGAATTCTTCCTCATGCGGAGCTCCGCTCTCCTTCTCACTTCAAACATTCACCGCACTCTTTCTCACATGTTACGCGTTTTTTTCTCGCCATTCTGAAGGCTATAAAGTTTACCTGAATCGCGGAAGAAAGAGAGAAAAAAAGGAAAACTGCCGGCACAAGAGTCGAAGAGTTTTCTTTTTTTCTTCGGCGTAGTGTAAATCACGGCGTCGTTTCGTGCCGTGTCGGGTGAAAATAAAGGCTTCGAAGATCGTATCTTTTACGAAAATCAACCGTGTCACGTTCATGTTGTGACGCGGTAAGGGGGCGCCAGACGCATCTATGACCCTTCTTCTTTTGCGCAACCGATTCGTTTTCTCCGTTGCATTTTTTTAGGGGACCGGGCTAATACGAGATGCCCCAAACTCGTCCAGCCACATTTTGTTCTCAGGTCTTTCGTGCAATTTCGAATTCAATTGGGAAACAATAGACCACGGAGATCGAAATATGTCGACGAGTTGCATTTCGTTTTCCACCACGAGTTTTAAATGATTTTCACTTACATTACTTGCGTCCACTTATTGCCGTGTCTCTTTGTTGCTGTATTACATTGCTGTAGCGCTTATATACTCACAAATTCGATCGCAAATTTGTAATATGCTGTATTTGAGTACGTGTCGCAAAATATCTTTAAGATTCGAAGCGCAAAATTCATAAGTGCTGGAAAAAGTTTGCTCGGATTGATCGGAGGGATTACAGGATAGAACTGGCTGTCCGGAACATTCGGCTTGAAACATTTCGCGTGTTTCAGCGCGCTGCGCGTTCGCATGATCGCCATTTGTATTTATAAAAGGCCTGAAAAATCGAGATTCACGCACCCGCGGCTAAAACGACGCGCGGATATTGCCCGACACGTCGCGTTGTTATGATGGTATAATTATTTGCGAGGGGAAAAATTTACGACTATTACACCGCTCTGCATTATCTCTCTCGTCGAGCCGCGGCGAGCGTGCTTCTCCCCGCCGATCTGCATGCGAAATCGGAATTTTTATACTTTATACCGCGCGAGGATATCCGCGAATGTAGAACAGCGTTGAAAATCGTACCCTTTACGGACGCGTACCGAAATGTGAATACGCGTAACGATGTTTCGAGTGGAAGCGTATTTTGATTCGTCGCTTCTTGAAGCCCGCCGCTCGGCTCGCCGACTTTGCGTGAACGAAATACGCGAGAACCTAACGAATGCAGAGAAACGTACGATACATCGACGAGCGAGCCGACGAGTCACGGGAGCTCAGAAAAGTGTATTTCGC